TTTCCCTAAGCCCCTGAACTTTGACCCAATCTTGAGCTTGTGCAAGCATTAGGAATTTAAGGAAGCATGGTAACAAGAGACAGTCTTTTTTAGCAGCCTTACTGAGAATCATTGAATCACAAACAAAATAATTCCCTATTCATTTACTTCATGATGCCAGGGCTTACCCAACTTCTCACGCCCAGTTGTTTCTAATCTTGTTTTACTTTTATCTACAAAAGTATAAGTTGACCTTTGAACAATGTAGGGGTTAGGAGTGTCAACCGTTAAATAATAGATTCACTAAAAGAAAAATGGTGTTTATTTGGGAATAGGCTTTGTGATAAGGAATATACCTGTCATAGTAAACTACAAGCATATTCAGGGAAATAAGGGAGGATAGGGTTTTTAAAGCAAAAATGAGGAGGGATTATATAAGTTGTTTTAGATAGTTATCCTTGGCTACGAAGATCAAGGTGATGTCAGTACAACGTTAGGAAGACGGTTTCTGCACAGATGTTGCAATATTGTGGTTCTGGCAGAGTCCTTGTGATGGTTCTTGCCATCACAAGGCATACTTGCATGAGAACTGCACTCTTCATGGCCTTCCCCAGCTCCATTTAGTTGAGATTTAACACAAGTCAACACAAGTGACTTTAATTCTGACAACTTGCACAGAGTTGCCAACCCCCAGCTGGTCAAAAACCCAAGTATAATTTTAGACTCCTCAAATGCCTAACTACTAATAAGTAGCCTACTCTTGACTGGAAACCTTAAAAAAATGTAAACAGTTGACTAACTCACATTTATTTACTATGTGTAGTATGTACTCTATTTTTATAATAAAAGAAGGTAGAGAAAGAAAGTGTTATTAAGTAAATAATGAAAAGAAAGTACATTTACAGTATTTATTAGAAAAAAAACCCATGTGTAAGTGGACCCACGCAGTTCAAACCCATGTCATTCAAGAGCCGACTGTAATTCTTTATTTCCTTTACTCAAAGGTACTTGCACATATTATGGTCAGCATGTTCTCTTTGCTATAGTGTTTTTTTTTTTAATTTAGTTTTATTATGATGATGATTATTTTTAAATACTTGATTGCTGTCACATAATTTGAGAATTTAACCAACATGAAATTTACCTCAGACCAGTTCAGTTGAGAATACTATACACGTTATCATTGACAGGTAATAAACCATTTCTGTGTCCTACAAATGTCTTGCCTCTGTTTTTTCTCCCTGATTTCCTTTCCTAAAACCTTCCCCTCTCCCACCCTCCTTCCACCACTGTCTCCAGTGTCCATAACTATTTTCACTGCTTTTATGTCCTTCAATCTTTCAGTCTCTGCCATAGTGTGCAGACAGTATATATTATGTGGAGACATACAATGTCTCTCTTTCATAGCCTGGCTTGCTTCACTCAGCAATAAATCTTCCATTTTCGACCACTTGCTATCAAATGCCAGGGTCTTGTTTTTTATGGCTGAATAGTATTCCATAGAGTCTATGTGGCACACTTTTTCAGTCCATTCATCTGTTCATGGACATTTGGGTTGGCTCCATGTCTAAGCAATTGTGAATAATGCTGCAATAAACATTG